GCAGGAGTGGTTGTAGGGGGTCTGGTCCTGCAGGAGTGGTTGTAGGGTCTGGTCCTGCAGGAGTGGTTATAGGGTCTGGTCCTGCAGGAGTGGTTGTAGGGTCTGGTCCTGTAGGAGTGGTTATAGGGTCTGGTCCTGCAGGAGTGGTTGTAGGGGGTCTGATCCTGGGCTCTGGTAGCCCTTGGGAAGACAGCTGCCCCAGCACATGGCTAGCCTTTGAAGCTGCACCTTGAGGGATGTGGCTGCTTGCTGCCCTCCTGGAGTGGGTGCAGGCTCTGATGCAGACTCCACCTGGAGTCCCTAAGTGACCTGTCTACACAGCCACACAGTAGCTCTGATGCGCTAGGCTTCCCTAGTCCTGGGGAAGAGTGACTGTGGAAAGCATGTCTGGATTCTCAGTTTTTGTAAGCATCCTGTCTGCTTGTGCCCGGGGACAGTGAGAGGAATGTCCACTGTCTCTCTCTGCAGTGGGGTGGGCTGAGCACCCTGTACTCACGTCTGCACCCCCTCAGGGATTCTTTATGGGTACAGAGCCTTCCCAGCAGGCAGCCAGGTCTTGCTCAGCCACCGAGAACCCATGGGTGTTGCAGCTGCTCTTGACCCGCTCCCGGGCTCTCTGCTCCCTGGCTGCCTCCTCTTAGACCTGGAGAGGGCCGGTCCTGCGCCTTACCTGAGCCTCCCTCTGCCCAGGGGCTGCCTCTGGTGGGACTGCAGTGTGACGTGTGGTGTCGACTCAGGACGGCTCCATGAGCTCTCACCTTTGAAGGTCTGAGGGGCCAGGAGGCCCAGGGTACGCAGGTCCTGTGTTTGTCGCATGAACCTGGCAGAGCATTTTGAAGCAGGCACGACACCTGTGCTACCAGATACGGTGCTCCTGCCAGCCTGCCAGAGTGGGATGGCCACGTCAGCAGCCCAGCTGCAGCAGAGGACACAGGCTGGGTGGGTCAGATCCTTGTCTGACCAGGAACAGTGACCAGACAGAGCCTCCAGCCCCTTTGCCCTCTGCTCACTGAGGGCCTCGGCCAGGGGATTCCAGCAGGGCTGTGCACATGGGCTCATGCCCAGTTTCCTGAGGTCTCTGGCTGCGGTCTTTCCTGTTTGCCTGAATTCAGCAGCTTTTGCCCAGTACCACCACTGGGGTGGTGATCAGGGGCCTTCACCAACTCGGGTGGGTGGCCACGCTGGCCAGGCGCAGTCGTGTGACTCTGGGGTGCGTGGCCACACTGGCCAGGCGCAATTGTATGAAAGGGAGCACAATATTTGAACACAGAAGGCTGGGCAGTCTGTTAGTGTCTGGGCTCTTTAACTGACCGTTTCTACTTTTGTTTAAAACCACAATCCAAATGCACAATGAGATCTTTCATTAAGATGCTTAAATTGGACGATGACAGCAGTAATGAAAACAAAGCTGGGCAGCCGAGGCTGGTATTGCTCACGCTGCACGCAGGTCAGACACAGGGTGCTTTGAAAGCAGACCCTCGGCTCTGCCTCGCATCAGTCGGTCTCGCCTGCCCGCAGCAGGCACAGCTCCTGCCCGCAGCAGGCACAGCTCCTGCCCCAGTGCTCCAGTGAGAACCACTTCCACCTGGGGGTCAGCCCCAGAAGCCCCCTGCTCCGGGGTGCAGTGTCCAGGGGCACTCACATGCAGGAGAAGGTCTGGAGCCCTGGCTCATCTGTTTGACACACTGTCTGGGATGCAGGGACTGGGTAGCAGTCCTGATAGCCGCTGACAGCCAGGGAGCCACAGGCCTGCTGCGGGCCCTCTGGCCTCAGGGGAATGGCAGAGAGTTGTGTGGTTAAGTGGCCTGGTATGTGTGAAGCCCCAGTTCAGCTGACACGTGTAAGTGCTGTGTGAGTGCCAGCCACCGTGACTTCAGAGATCAGGTGTTGCTGGAAACTCAGGTGTTTATTCTTTTTTCATCCTGCTCATACCGGTCACACTGGTGAGATGGGTTGGCTTGACCCTTTTTCCAGGTGTTCTGGGCAGAAAAACAGAGCATCAGTGAGGCCAGACCCACGCAGCATGGTCAGGAAATGTTTAGCCAAAGAGAGGGCACACTGGCCCCTGTAAGACTCAGAGAGCCTCGTGGCTGCCAACAGTGGGCCAGCGTGCCTACGTTCCGTCTTGAGCAGATGCAGGTGGAGTGTGCTTGCTTTCTCTGCTGACAGGAAGGCCTCTAGAGAAGAGCAAACCCATGCTGTGCCACTCTGCGGACCTCAGTGCTCAGTCTGCTGAGGCGAGCCCTGGCCCTTGCCGCAGAGTCGCACAGCAGAGCTGGGGTCACTGCAGGCTGAGCTGGTCTCTGTCCCATGCCCTCTAGGCGGGTGATTCAGCCTCAGCCATCACTGGGCAGGGCTGCGGGGCAGCCGCCTCTCCTGTGGCAGGTGTCTGGAGATGCCTGTGTCTTTCTTTTCCCGTTTCTCTGGACTAGAGTTCAGGGACATTCACTGATGGCCCTCTCTGTCCTGTTCCTGAGACCTTGGCACTCTGGAGGATGGGCACGGGGCCTGGGCCCAGCGGGAGCCACTGTGCCGTTCCGTGCTCCTTTCCTTACGTACCCTGACTGTTCTGCAGCTGCACGGGCGTCATGCGAGCAGCCCGATGCGGTGTTCCATGAAACGCGGGACTCAAGCTGGCCTCCCAGCACCTGCTCCTTCTCCTGGCTGTGCAGACTGCCCTCAGCCTCAGAGGCGCGGGGTCACCAGGACTGCCTCCCATGGTCCAGTCCTGTCCACCCTGCTTCCCTGCCCTGCGCCCTCCCTGGGAGAAGCTGGAGGAAGTCTGTGGCCATGTCTGCCCAGAATGCAGTGCGCTGCTGTGAGTGGTTGGGGGCTCTCGTGTGCACCTGCATGTGTGTGTGCAGGGCGAGTCGATTCTGTCTCAGAACCGCGGGTTTCTGCAGCACAGCAGGTGTGTCCTTGGCTGGACTGGCACTACAGCAGCCCTTTGCCTGCCCTCACTTACATCCCTGTCCAGCGGCAGGCAGTGTCCGCGTTGCTCAGCTTCTCTCTGAGGACCCTTCCTTCTGTGGCACTCCCAACTGTGACCCAGCCTTTAGCCTAAGCACGCCTGCCTTAGATTGGAAACCAAGTCCATTTCCCACCATGGGGATGAGCTCCTTTGCCACTTCTGTTGATGTCCTCAGTGTCCAGCATGTAGATTCCAGGTGTGGCTGGAGGGCCTGGAGCAGAGTAGCAGGAACTGCAGCAGTGACCACTCCTGTCCCCCACTGTGAGCAGCAGTGACAGCTGGCACGTGCGCGCCCAGCACTGATGAGACTCCTATTCTCATCCCCCGCGCCGTGTTTCACCTGCAGCGTGCTGGGAGGTGGACACTGTTGCCGCCCACCAGTTCCAGGTGTAGCAGTTGGCTGCACAATCTCAGAACTTGCCAGGTCTCACCTGGCATGTGGACAGGCAGATTCTGCCCCAGCCTCTGGGCTCTGAGGCTCCCCGTCATACACCTGCCCGTGTATGGCCTGGGTAGGTCCTTTGAACTTTCTGAGCTGTTGCGTCTTCATTTGAGGCAGAACCCCCTTGTTGGGGCGATGCTGTGACTGTGATCCTCCCAAGGGAGGCCACTGCTCCCAGCAGCTTCCCGGTACCTGTGGAGCTGCGAGTGTTGCTGAAGTAGGGACTTTGGAACTGAGACTCCGGATGCCAGTGAGGAGGGCCAGCTGCTCACACAGGGTGTGCAGCTCTGGGCAAGGTCCTGGCAGCTTCTAAATGCCCGTGAGGATGTCAGGGAAAAGTTGGGTAAGGGGAGCATGGGGCAGAGGGGTGGCTGTTCCTGATGGGTGCCCCTGGCGCCCTCCGCGTCTCAGTGGATGAGAGCCTTCATGGCACTGCCAGCTCATCTTAGTTTGAGAACACAGTGGCTTTCTCTGGAAAGTACCGCATTTTGTTAATTAATTTGGCTAAAATAATTGGCTGGGCTTAGGTGGTTGCAGACGAAGTCCAAGGCCGTGCCCGCTGGCACCCCAGGGCTTTTCCAGGCCTGTTTTCTGTGAGGAGCATGTGAAGCCAGTGATGGCCTTGGGTAGGCAGCTGGCAGTGGAGGAGGCGCTGGGGGCAGGCGCCGCCGTCCGTCGCATGCGTTGTTCCTGACGTGGGAACGGAAGCAGTTGGCTTTTCCTCCAACCCTCTGTCCCCGTCTGAAGCCAGGTGGGTGCGGGGAGGTCTCCTGTGAGTCAGTGGACAGGATATCCTCCTCTGGAGCTAGGAGCCAGCCTTCTCATGAGCTCTGGGTGTCACCCTTTTTTAGATCCAGGCATGTGGGATTGTCCTAGCCAAGAGACTGGTTACTTGTTCCCTCAGAGGAAGCTTAGAAAACTGTCAGCTGCACCTTGATCCTGATAGTTCTTTACTCAGAACTGCTAAGGTGTTAGTTGAAGGAAGAGGAAGACACATTTGGCTTATGTGCTGATTTTTCCCTTCAGAACCCTGGATGAACTTAAGCAAAGACTTGCGGAGGTGTTGGCTGGCAGGGACCTGCCCAGTGGTCCAGCTGTGAGCTACCTGCTGGCTGCGATTCCGGGTGACCCAAGGAGAAGTCGCGCTGGCTGAGAACTCTCTCTTTGGTTTGGTTTGCAGCCAGTAGGGGATGAGTTCTTTAACCCCAGCTGCAAGTGACAGCTGTGTTTCCTCCTTACAGGGCCATCAGGCCATCACTACAAGCCCTGCACGTGGTGAGAAAGTGACGTTTGCCTAGCCAGCATGTGACGGGCCGTGTCTCCGCTTCCGTTCCCTGACCAAGCCACAGAGCATGGACCAGCAAGAGGGCCCTCCTCCTGCTCCCACAGGTGCGTGGCCCCCACAGGGGTGTCGCCCCCACAGGGGTGTCCAGGAGCCCGGGGGCACTAGGGGCTCTTCCTGAACACTCCGTGCTTCTGGAATTACGAGGCTGCTCCTGACGGGGGCGAGTGGTGGGGGAGACGAGGGTGAGAGTGTCTCAGGGAGAATGATGAGGTGCTTGCTGGGGCTCAGAGGGGATATGAACTCTGAGGGTCCCAGCTCTTAGGCCAGTGCACTTGGGGTGCACCAGTGAGCCTCTTGCACCAGGCTTGCCTGTCCTGGGCATCTCAGCTTCCTGCAAGGTGTTCCGTCACCCACCCAAGCTGACTGATGTGGAAGGGAAAGGGCTTCCTGTTCAGAGGCCATGTCCACGTGCAGGCCCAGTGGCCAGGGCTAACGTTCCACCACTAGAACACAGCCTCTCCAGGCACTTGGAACGGGGTCCAGGGAGTCCTCTCCTGCTTCCTTTCTCTGGGGCAACTCAGGGCCAAGCATGGATCTCTTCTGTCCATCCACACCAGGTACAGCCTTCTTATCACCTCGCCAGAGCTCAGTCTGCCCAGATGCCCATGGCAGGGAAGGCTGGCCCCAGCCCATGGTGGACCCTAACATTTCTGTAGCAGGCATCCCCAGGACTTCCTGTTCTTGCGAAACCTGGGCTGGTGGGGCAGGTGGGGCAAAGCTGTGCGGGCAGCTGGCTGCACAGGTCTGGGAGCTCCTCTGGGACCCAGCACATGTGGGCAGGAGGAGACTGGCCTTGCACTCGGTTCTTCCACCCTGCGCTGCCCGCCACACCGACCTCTGGCCCTGGTGATGCTCATCCAGAAGCTCTGTAGGCAGAGCTGCCCCCAAGTGAGCAGGGCCCCAGAGACACCAGAGCCAACTGTGGCGTGGTGAACTGCCCAGAGTGTCCAGTGGGACGAGAGGCCCCCAGAGAACTGTCAGGTGCCACTGTTTGCAGGAGCTCCTGCTGAGTGGGGGACTGACCTCTGAGGGTCATCTGGAGCTGGAGGACCCAGGAGGCATGGGATGTGTGAATGGGTGCCGAGAGGCCGGTTCTGCGGCTGCGCTGGCCTCTGGGCGGGTCTCACCTGTGTGGGCCTCAGCTGTGGGAGCCCTGGCCTTTCAGCCATGATGCCCAGGCTTGTACTTTTGGTATGAGATATGAAGGAGACACTTACAGTTTTGGGGGAGACTATAAACACAAGACAGCTTCAGGAAGGACAGACGGAGCAGCACCTCTTCCAGCCTTGCCACAGGGCTGAGCAAGGAGGCAGTGTCGGCAGCGTTCCCAGCGTCCAGGCTGGCAGCGGCCCACAAGCAGCTCAGACAGCCACCTGAGACGCGTAAAGAAATCGTCTCGCAAGATGCTTTGGGGTATTTCAGAAAGCAAAACTCAGTTCCTGATTTTAAAGTCACACTACCAGCAAGAGCTGTCCTAATTAATACTAAAATCCTGCCACAGATTATGTTTCAGAAAAAGAAATCATACTATCGCTGTATCAACCTCAGTTCGTGAAGAGCCAGGGACTGAATGCCTCTTGATGTGGCAAGCCCAGGGGAGGGCTCAGCTCTCCCGAGAGCAGCTGCCGCGCTCTCGCCCTGGTCACCCAGCCCTGGGCCCCAGGCCAGGAGCTCCCTCGGATGCCCTGGGCATGGCAGACCCAGTCTTGTGCACACTACCGTGAGGCCCAGCCTGCCTGAGTTTGGGTACGAGCAGCCTCGGGTGGGGGGCAGAGAGAGCTGGAGCTACGCGGAGACAGGTATGGCCCACAGCGCTGGGCACTGGGGCTGCTCTCAGGGTCCTTGGGGACAAGCAGAAGGCCTTGGCTGGGACAAGGCTGAGGCCTCAGCCAGTGCAGGGAGAGCATGGGCCAAATGGGGCCAGACCCGGCCGAGCAGCACCTATCAGTGTCCAGTTGGGGTGCGGCGACTTCAGCATGGGGTCCCTGCCTTTAGATTGTTGCTTTTCTTTTTTCCCTTCTTCCCTCCCCTCCCCCTCCCTCTCCCCCTCTCCCTATTCCCTTCCCTCCTTCTATTCCTTCCTCTCTCCCTTCCCTTCCTCCTCCTCTCCCTCTGGTCTCCCCCTTCCTTTCTCCCTTCTCCCTCCCCTCCTCTTCCTCTCTTCCCTCCTTACCCCTCCCTTCTCTCCCTCTTCCATCCTCCCTTCCTCCCTTCCTCTCCTCCCTTCTTCTCCCCTCCTTCCTTCTTCCTCTCCCCTCCCCTCCCCTCCTCCCTCCTCTCCCCTCCCCTCCTCCCTCCTCTCCCCTCTCCTCCTCCCCTCCCTTCCTCCTCTCCCTCTCTCCTTCCTCTCCTCCTCCCCTCCCCTCCTCCCTCCTCCCTCCTCTTTCCCCTCCTCCCCCTTCCTCCTCTCCCTCTCCTTGCTCTCTTCCTCCCCTCCTTCCCCCCTCCCTTCCCCTCCCCCTCCCCCTCCCCCACCCTCCCCTCCCTTCCTCTAGCCTCCCTCGGCCATTGAGTACTCCACGGTCCTTTCTACGTTTTACTTCCAGAAGCGCCTGAGTAGTGCAGGGTCGGCCTGGGCTTCCCTTCTGTCCTTCTCTCTTTGCTGGGGCCCAGGCCCTCCTGGGCATGGAGTGGCCCGTCTGCCTCTTGGGAATGCTCTGGCTGCTGGCCTTGCTCCTGCTTCCCAGGAGGGAAGCGCCCCGTGGTCTCTGTCCTTGTTCAGGAAGGTGCAAGCCTTGTGCCAGGAGTAACGGTTAACCTGGCAATCCACACTTGTTACATTTTAGAAAACGAAGTGAAATATGATGCTAATAACAACGAGGAGGAGGAGGGGGAGCAGTTCGATTTTGACAGTGGAGATGAAGTTCCGGAAGCAGACCGACAAGCCCCGGCAGACGCTGGGCCCCAGGGCCGGGAGGCAGGTGAAGCCTCCTCCCCTGCTGGTGAGTCCCCCGTGCCTCTCTTCACAGCGTGGCCCTGCGGGGAGGGGCTTCCCGGAGCCTGTGGAGTCACCCAGGTTTTCCGTGTTCAGACTCCAGGCCTGGGCTGGCTCACGGACCAGGGGCTGCTGAGCCCGAGCTGTGGTCCAGGGTCAGCCACCAGGCAGTGTCCATCTCACCTGTCCCAGAGGGGTGTGGACCCCAGTTCTGCCGTGTGCTGCATGGACTGTGGTCTCCTATATCCATCGGGACACGCCAGGCATATGTTGCGCGTCCAGCCTTCCTGGCCCGCACACGGAGGGCACCTGCCTGCCCTTGAGTGCTCTGACAGGTGACCTTCCGCCCTCCAGGAGGCGAAAACGGGACCAGCACAGACGCCGAGGCAGTGGCAGAACCTGCCCCCCTTGCGGTCCCAGCCAGAGTGAACCCCTATTCCGTCATCGACATCACGCCATTCCAGGAGGACCAGCCGCCGCCCTCCGACCTGAGCGCCGAGGAGGAAGCCGTGGGTCTGCAGGTGCCCAGCGGGTACTCAGTGCCTGTGCCCTGCGGCTACGCTGTCCCCTGCAGCCTCCCCCTGCTGCAGCCAGCCTACTGCAGCCCTGCCATCATCCGCACGGAGTCTGCAGAGGAGGAAGGTACTGCGCCTGCTCCCTGGCACAGCCAGGGACACGCTGGCTCTGCAGGGCGTGCTCAGTCTTCCCTTCCCCACCTTAGTCACCCTCCTGCTCATAGGGTTGGATCAGTGCTCTCTTCCACAAGGCACAGATAAGGAGGGCTTTGAAATCGAGGCTGAGCCTGCGAGTCTGGCCTCTGAAGACCAGGGAGCCATAGGTGACCTCTGGCAGTGCCACCACGCCCCACACCTCCTCTGGCATTCACCGTCACTGTTCCGCTGCTGGCTGGAACAGTGTGTCCTGATAGACCTGTCGACCCACAAACCAGCCCGTCCTCTGAGTTGTTGTCCAGCTGTTTCATTTTCAGTGAGGAGGGGTGAGGAGGGAAGGAGAGACAAGGGCACACTCTGCCTGGGAGGTGTCTCCTCTGCCCGGCAGCAGGCCTGCAGTGGAGGCCCGGAGATGCTCCAGAGCTGGCCACACCAGTGAGGTGCAAGAAGAGACCTTGGGGAGAGGCTGGGGAGAGGCCTAGACCCCACAGCCATGCCAGGGTGTGCAGCAAGGCACTGGGGATGACAGGTGTTCACCCATCTCTCCAGCCTGTGTCCTCAGTTCTGGGGTGGGGGCAGTCAGTCTCTATCCAGAGCGCAGAAGCTGCGAGGGTCTCGAGTGGCTGGGCTGAGTTAGCTAGAGATGGCCTTCTCAGAACGTGAGCGGCACTCTCAGAATGAGAGTGGCCCAGGTGTGAGTCGCAGTTGTGCTCTTGTGGGAAGTTCAGCAGAGATCCTTTTCTTTCTAGTTAGCAGCAGTTTAAGAGAAACACCTTCCTTAAAGAAAGCTCTTGATTCTGGAAATCACAGAGGGCTTGTAGGAGAGGTGTCTTCCGCCTGTCTTTGTTCTGCAGTGGGCCACGAGCCATGGTCTGTCCTTGGTCTGTAACCATGAAGCTGGCCCGTCTGCAGACCAGGGAGTGTGTCGTGGAGGCCTTCACTTGAGGAGAATGTGCTCCTTTTAAAGTGCTCTGCCTGTTTTTAAGTTGTTTGGTTATTTAGTATTGAGCATCATTTAAAGTAGCTTAAAAATCACTCAGCATAATCTTAAAACAACTGCTGATTATGTTTACTGTCAACCAAGAGCCTGTAATAAAGTCATGGTGTGGTCAATTCTGCCGTGAGTCCTGGAGCCAAGGAACAAGGCCGTTTGTGTTTACCTTTTGAAGAGAGATGAACACTCTGACCTCTTTCCAAGGAGGGTTGGTCTCGGGCAGGTCCAAAGCCTGCTTGCCTTTCAGCTTCTGGTGCCAGGATTCTGCCCTGGAGATGGGGACTGCTGTGACCCTTAGGATTATCTTGGGACACTGTGCTAGCCTGGCCCCTTCCCACACCGAGCCCTGGCCTGCTGCCCAAGGCCGTCCCGAAGGCCTCTGAGACAGGTGCTGCTTTGGTTGCCTGGTTGTCTTCTGCCAGCAGAGCGCTCGCAGTGCCCTGTGTGGTGAGCATGCTCCCCTGGCCCCTGCCCCACATCAGAGCTCTCGTGTTCTGGAGGACACCCAACTTGCACTTTCCTTCTTGAAGGGAGGATCCGAGCCAGGAACTGCAACCTTCTGGGGGTGGGACATGTGGAAGCCCCTGCAGTGAGAAGAAGCTGGGTGGGAGCAGGCTGGGAGGCCTGCCTGAGCTCCCGCAGCACTGGGCACAGAGGCCTGCTTCTGTGGCCTGGAAGTCCTGCCTGCTGTGTGCAGTTCCTCGCCCTGCACCTGTGCCTGTGCCGTGTGACTCTGCCTTCATCCGTGGAGTCGCCAAGCCGGCTGAGCTCTCTTGGCCTTTGAGCCAGCCGTCCAGCAGCTGACTGGGAATGGTGGCTTACCCATCAATGAGTCCCTTTTGAGGGCTCTGTGTGGACAGTGGAGACTCATTTCTCTTGCTGGCACCTGATTGGCTGTTCGTCAGCCGTCTTCTCATTAGGATGGCCTTTGCCATGATTTCCGCTCTCAACACCCACACAGGGCTGAGAGGAGGATGCCTGTTGGAGCCCAGGCGCCTGAGTCGGCCCTGTGCAGAGAGTGAGAGTGTGAGTGTGTGTGCAAAAGGTTGGACCCACGTCACGCTTTCTCCCCTGAGGGCCATCTGCATTGGTCCATAGATGCCCCTGCAAATAAATCAGATTGTAAATTCCCACGGACACTGGAGCTAGAGGGCCGTGTGCTTCCACCTGCAGCCTGATCTGTCTGCACCTCCGTGTGCTTTGTTTGTTCTGTGGATCTTGGGGTTTCACATTGTGTCATGACCCCATGCTGAGCACATTTTGCCTAGGAACTGGAGGTTTTTAAGCCTTCCAGTCATCTTTATGGTGACATAAGCCTGTGGTGAGAAGGGAGCTGTGGACTCATCATGAGAGGAGAGCGATGACCGCTCACACACTCTGGGATGTAAAGCATGGGTTCTTCTTTCCCAGCAGGAACTCTGGAGGTTGCTGAGGACCACCAGCCTGCTTCTCTAAGTTCTGCAGACCCTCCACTCAGGTAGGTCGCTGTTTTATCCTGAGGCCCTGCCTGCTCAGGTGGGCCGCGTGCACTGACCCCACGTGCCTGGTGCCCGCCCTTCCCTCAGCCTCCTGCTGCCCACGGCCCGGCCCCCTTCCTGCCTCAGGCCCCTCCAAGTGCTGCAGGCCTCCCTCAGGCCAGTGTGTGGTCACCAGGTGCCTTACCCACGTGGGGCCACCCAGCTGCCCCAGGGCGATGGGCTGTGGGCCTGGGCAGGGCTGTGCTGTCTTCAGCATGGCTTGTTCTCCCTTTCAGGGTTCAGGGTTGAAGGACCTCAGACCTGGAGCCTCCCACAGACAGGCTTCTGGGGAGAAAGACTCACTGTCAAGACCCACACCCACTGCCAGTGCAGGCTGGTTCAGGAAGCCTGCCTGGAACCCGTGACCCATGAGTCACTGCGAGAGGGCGGGGCTCGCAGCCCCAGCAGCCTGCGGCTGGCCAGGAGGCGGGGTCTTCCTGAAGGGGAGGAGCCAGGAGGCGGGGTCTTCCCGAAGGGGAGGAGCCAGGAGGCGGGGTCTTCCTGAAGGGGAGGAGCCA